GATTAAAATTGCTAGTTTTGCATCAAACAAGGTTTAACTTAACCTAATCCAAATCACTCGAAGCTGGTTAGTATTTGGAAAGAAAAATTATTTTTAATAAAAAATTAAATTTTTAATTTGTTAAGAGACTAATCATTTCTTCTAAACCTAATCCCATTAGTAGGAAGATATCACTTTAATATCAAGCAATCAAAGTTTTATCCTGAGTCCTCACAACTCTTGTTTTCTTTATAGCTATATTAATTTAAACTTAAATGGCTAAAATAAATTAATAATATACATTATGGATAAAGAAATTCTCTTATTGCATTTTAATTAAAAAAAAGTAAACTAAAAACTCTGCACGATTTCGATCTCCACACTTCATCTAGCTCAAAGTGCCAGATTTTTCTCCATAAACCATATCATAACTATTTTTTTAATTGATATATATATATATATATAGAGAGAGAGAGAGAGAGAGAGAGAGAGACAGAGACAGAGATGGGGACGGTGAGATCCAAGTATAGGAAATCTTTGAATTCTAATGTGTAAGATGAACTAATAAGACATCACGTTATTAATTATTTTTGGTCAAATTTTTTAATGAATTTTAAAACAGAAAGATAAATGTCCAAGGCACATAGCTGTGGCTGAAAAAAAAAATAGGGGAAAGCACATGGGACTGTGAGGCCAAGTTCATGATAATGATTATTTTTTTCCTTTTGACCTAAGGTTTTATTTTTAGTTTCCTTTTTTTTTTTGGCATAGCCGAATGTTGACATTGTTGCGAACAAATAAATCAATAATATAAATGATATGTGTATGTATATATGTTGTTGGTGGCGTGCAAGCGAGGGATTTCTCAGAGACATTCTTCGTGTTGAATGCTTCAAAGGGATGATCATACGAATAAAAAGAAACATCCTAAGTGCATCAGATTTGCTTCATTCTTAAGAAACTTAATTATTTTCCTCTGTTTATTGAGATTTTATTTTATTTTTCCGTTGCATATTTGATTTGAATTAGATATAACAAAAAAATTAATTATTTTAAAATTACATGGATGGAAATTTAAATAAAGATATATACTTTTTCAGGTCAAATTTATATCCATGGAAATTTATCTTGATGTGGATATTCAGATTGATGTTATTCAAGTTACATATTGTCATAACTCAATTTTACAACATAAGATTTGAGTAATATTGAAATTGAATTTCTAATGCTTTTTACTCACGAGTAGGCAACATATTGCTCTTAAGTTAGTACAAAGTCTACAAAGTCTTTTCTCAAAATATATGTGAAGTATTGTGTTACGTGTAGTGATTATTGATGATATAATTAAATATTTATTTTATGTCACTCTTGAAATGAAAAATAAAGATAAAAAAAAATAGCTTAAATTGAGAGGACTCGGCTTCTCTCAAAGAAAGCCTTCTTTATCTTTTCTTTGAGGCAGAGGCTTAATCTAACTATCCAAATTTAATTTGGACGGTCTAGCTTTAATATTTTTAGTTTTTGTTTATATTTTTTAAAATAAAAAATATATAAAAATTGTAAAAACTTTTAATAAATACAATCATTAATCTGACAATTCAAGTTTAATATTAAATTTTTTAATAAATTTACTGTTCTGTTCAGAATATATTTATATTATCTAAAATATATTTAAAAAGTCAATTTAAATTTTTTATATTAAATTTAAATTATCTATATTAAATTTGGACTATTTGATAAATATATTTATTAAAAAATTATATAATTTTTATATATTTTTAATTTAAAAATATAAATAAAAAATAAAAATAAAAATATTAAATTTGGATGGTCGAGATTTTTCTATGCCTAAAAAGAGAGGCAGAGGAAGCTTCTCTCAAAGGAGAGAAGCCGAGTCTGAATTAAAAATTGAGATATAGAGTTATACATTTATTTTTTTTATAACCATAAAAAAATAACTAATTGAATTATGTGGTTTGGTTTTGTTTATAATTATCTTTCTAGCTGTATGACTTGATGATTGCTGAGAATCTAATTTATGAGACTTCAGACTTCAAATGCAACAACATGTTTTAGATTTGGAAAATAGGAATATTTTAGATTTCTTTCTTTCTTTTCCCCTTTATTTTGAATTTATAATTTAATAAATAATTGGCAACAGTGTTGGTCAATGTCGCACGTTGTAGCACTAAAAGGGAAGTTGCTTGCATGTTTTGCAATGTTTTGTTTCCACTCAACAGCTTGGAGCTTGTTGTGTTCAGTTCACGTTGTCAAGTAAACAAGTAAATTGTATAACACTCAAAAGCATAAAACAATATTAACATTTAGATTTATTAATAATAGTGATTATGCATAGAATATAGAAAATTTCAAGATTAATAAATGAAGGTGTTTAAATTTAAAAAATAATAAATTTTTCAAAAAATAATAATTTTAGTTTGGTTACCAAATAAAAAATTAGAAATACTTTTACAGAAAATATTATTATTTTTGTTTTTGTTTATATTCCAATAATAAAAGTTCATAATGTCATGAGAAATTGAGAATTGGGATGGGGATGAATCTCTCTACTTTGCTTTTAGGCCCAAAAGAACTCTTTGTCCCCACATTGACCCATTCAATACTTGTTGTCACCCAAAGATACAAAAAATGAACAACGACAGTTAGATATTTGACAAAATTTTTTATAAAAAGTTATAAATATTAATTCAAATAGTTTTATGTAAAAATTTTTATTATTATTTAAAAATTATATTTGATATTTAAATACTTATATGCAATTAAAACTTCTGAATTTATAATAATTTGGATTGATATTTTTAATTTATTTTTTAAAAAATTTATTGAAGAGTTAACTATTATTAATTTAATATTTTAGGACCTCCATGTTACTATGCATTGCATTCATATTTCTTTATTTCAAAACAATTATACCGTATTCATGTATTAATGGATATAAAAATATTTAACAGACAATGTTTCCCAAACCTGGCGGACATTGACTTAATACATGTTCAAGGTTGAATGGTGTAATGGTGATTAAATGTGCCGAAATTAAGTTTTTAAATGTTGACAAAATATTTTTAAACATTTATATGTTAAATTTATTTTTAAAAATAATAATAATTACTACAAAAATCATCATTTAAAATTTAAAAATGTTAGAATTAGATGATTGAAAGGATATTTTATAAAATTAAGAGACCAAATTAAAAATTTTATAAAAAAAATCAGAGGACCAAATTACATATTTTTATTTTATCAAATTTATAAATATACAAGATTTTTACATAATATTAAAAAATGTGTAAATAAAGACTTATATATGTAAATAGAAATATTATTTTTTATTTCAAAATATATTTTAATTCACTGTTAAAAGATTAATAATGTAGAATTCAAATAAAGGTAAACATAAATAACTACACTTGTTATTAAGTTAAGGTGTTACTTGTCACCATTTTAAAATACAACATGTAACTATTCGGCGAGCTCATTATATTTTTTTTCAGGAAAAATAATCTTATATAGACTGAACCATAGTATAGTAACATCTCCAATACAATAAATCAGAACTAGAAGTAATCTTTTAAAAAAATAATTTTAAAATAAATTATAATTAAACCAAATAAACATAAAATTGTAATTGAAAAATTATTTTTGATTGAGTATTTAAAATTTCAAATAAATCAACTATCAAATCAAATAATATCTTAAAAACAAATTAGTTAAACTAAAAATCATATAATTGGCAAGAAAATAAATAAAAGATACAGATCTATTGATCCAATCTATTAATTATTTTCAGATAAAATAATCAATATTATGAGTAATGATGGTTTATCAAGATCAATCATGCATCATCGAGCAGCGACATACAAAATCTGGTCATTATTTTACAATTTCAATTTTAAACTTATTTAGATAGTTTTCTTAATTTCAAACCTCATTACACACTAACAAAATCTGAGAATCTAAGTTTTGAATTGTTTTTGGCGTTCTAACATGGTCGCAAATGAACACATTCTTTCAAGGAAAATTTCACTTGTACAAAAGAAAGGCGTAATTGGCCATGAATATTCTCTATCATATCTAAAATTTCAAAGATAACCTTTGAGTATAAAGAATTTCATTCATCAAATCATTGGTTAAGCATGAGTTTTGGTAGGAATATGATGCCGTGTTCCATGGTTCTGTATTCGCTAATAATGTTTGAGGTTGGTGATAATATGAAAATGATGGCACCAATTATATGCTCATCAAAACAAAGTTGAATTGTTCATTTTTGATCTAGCTTTACACTCCTTTTTTTTCATTTATAAATTATTTTTAATTATCTATCAAAATCAAGGAGAATTAATTAAATTATTGATCTTGTCCAAAAAAAAGACAAATTTTTCTATTTATCTTTATTTAATTTATCATGTTTAAAAAATTATTTATTATGTAACACTTTATCCTTTACTCATCCAAAATTATGTAAAGGTAAAATTAGAAGAATGTAATTAATGATTTAATTTTTTATGCAAATAACTTGTAAAAAGAACCATGAATTTCATTTAGTAGGTGATTTATATATATGTATATATATATATGACTGAAGGGAGTAAAAAATTTGTAATGATTATTAAAATTTAGGAATTTTTCTTGTATATACAATAAATAATTACTCAATTTAAACTTAAGTTGAGATGATAAATATTAAATATTCATTTAGATGGAAATATGCGTGTGTTCAGATCAACTTTATAACCATGGAAATATCAGACTGACGTTCTCAAAAGTTATATAGTATTATAATTCAATATTACAATATAAAATTTGAGAATTGCTCATTATCTTGTCCAAGTATCACTGAAATTGAATTTCTAAAATTTGAAAATGTCATCCTCCATGTGCTGAAGATCATGACGGTGTAGTTTTTTTGGCCCAAATGAAACAAAGGTTGCATTTGTTTTTCTTTTTTACCAGAAACAACGAAAGTTGCATCGAAAGAGATCAACTTCTATCAGATTCACATATCATGAGAATTTTTGAATCCTTTGATAGAAAACCAATATTCATTTCTCAATTACAACATTGTAATGAAACATGACAGATATAAAAACAAAATTGGATGCCTTGGATGTCACTAGGTGGATGAGAACCGTAAAACTAAGCCATTGCAAGCCTAGATAATCCGGGATCCAGCATGAAGAACATCACAATCAGTCAAAGGGAATTACAACTTTGGGTCCACCTGAAACATTACTGTGCCGAAATTATACCTCATCATGCTTCTCACCTCAAACGAAATGGTGAAGGAAGAACTACGTTACGGTAGCTTGTCTCTTGCCTTTTTTTTTCCTTCAGTGGGCATTTCTCAGTTCCCTCGATCATTCTAGATAAAACATCTGCTTGCTTTGTGTCACCCCCCTGATTAAGGCTATTGATCAATTCGGATTACAGCTACTCCAATCTGTTGCACTTCCTTTTTCCAGAATTTTACATAAAATGTAACATGCATTACGGGTCTTTTCTTTCCTGCTGCTAAGAGAGACTTCAAAACTTTATCATAACTTGATAAGTCTAAGATACAGTCTCTCTCAAGGCCAAAATCTAACAGCTTCAAAGCAGCAGCTGTCTTTCCTTTCTCACAAAGAATTGATAAAAGGCTATCAAAGTCAGGCGTATACCCAAGGATTTCTCGACATGACCTCTCGTTAGAAGAGCCTCCAAGATCTTACCAACCAAGTCCACGTTCTCCATCACCCCTTTCTCTACCATACTTTTCATTACTCTGCTTGCAGTTTGAACCCTACCATCATCACACTAACTCTGCAAGACTGACCTATAAAGGGATGAATCTGGCAGGTGCCCGCTTTCAAGCATGCTATCCAAGGCTGTTTTAACATCAGCTGGTTCACCTTTCCTCAAGCTGCTCTCAATAAGCAGCCAGCAAGATTCTGCTTCTCTAGAAACCCTTCTCCTATCCATGATCTTAATAATTTCAAAAGCTGATTCAGAATTTCCTTCTTTTGAGTGCCAACAGATCAAATTATTAAAAGCAACTGAATCCTGGACAACCTTTTTCATTACCTGCCGGAAAAAAGTTCAATCATTGGGTTATAAGCACTAGGTTCCATTTCTAAAGAACTGTGTGGCCTCAAGATGATGTCCTTCTCAACTAACTTATCTAACAATTTTACTGCCCTATCATATGCATTGGCCTTGCAAAAATTCTCAATTAAAATGCCATAATGACCAGCTTCTGTGGGAATGCTCATCGAATCATTGCTTTTAGTACATCTGTAGCTGCATCCATGTCGCCAGACTTACACTGGCAAATCAGTCAGCAGTTTCTGGAAGATGGAATTATCCTTAGGAGCAATATATCTATTCACCATCTCCTTCAAAGCATTTTGAGCTTCGATAAATATTTCTGCATCACAAAGCCCAGGAAGCAAGATGGTGAACGTGACAGCATTTGGCTTAACACCAGATGACTTTAGCTCTTTAAAGATTGCAAGCGCATTGTCAATTCGCTCTGTTGCAACACACCATTCTAATATGAACTATTTAAATATGACCAGAAGATTTCAAGAACCCATCACCTTCCACAACTGCAGCATAGCATACATCATTCATAAACAAAGCTAGAAAATTAAAAGCTGGAAACCCGTATCCAAACATATGGTAATGAGAAAATACCTGCCATGGTTGTCCATCACAACCGCCAATTGCTGTAGTGATTACCTGCCCTGTTTCAGTTCCATTACCATTCCCAATAGTTGGCTCTATATCCTCTGCATAGGGCAAAGTTATTACCAAACACAAACTAATTGCATTGAGCAAAGACCGCTCAGGTTCATACAACTCAACAACAAATTAAACTTGTCCAAAACTAAAATATATGGGCATTGTAATAAAAGTAGCTCACGTTAAAATGAATACAGATTATTTAGAATAGCTTTTACATTAATGATTAATAAAGTAAAAAAGTAATGATTAAACATAAACATTGAAAGTGAAAAAATATGGGAAAATGAATGGCAATAAATACCTTTTCATTGCCCTTGTTGGCTATCTCATCTCTAATTTTCATTTCATTCAATTCTTTAGGAAGCTGATCATAAACTGATTTCTTTATTCTATCCATCAATCTACATTGGATGCGTCTACACTAGTATATCCTGGCGGGAGCACATGCTGCTCCACATTTGTGCTGCCCGTCTCAATGGGATTTGTTTCCTCATTGACTCTTTCTTTAGTATCTCGATCAAACTTAGTTCTCTTGGTGTTAGAATCCCCTCCCTATGTGGAAGCAGGAATTTTCCATAAAAGGGTACCTTAAAAAGTACCATCACTTACAGACTGGCTTCACAAATCCAGACTGAACAGCAAGCTCTTTGTATGAATCAACACCTACTTGCCATTTAGATAGCTGCCTCTTCAATATATCAAATGCCTTTAAACCCCCATGTTCAATTTTTTTAGTCGGAGCATTAAACCCCAACTCAACTAAGCAAAGATCATCGGATAAATGGGGACCCACTAGATCGGACTCTGACTTATCATTGGAAACATTCTTTTCCTCTGAAACATGAAAAATTAATGTATCATGAATCTTATCTCGATAACTAGAGTTCCCGTAAACAAGATTTGTGTCACAGCACTTGAATGAAGCTGGACGGTATAGCCAGAAAGGTTTTAGTTTTGAAGGATCAACCCAAGTTTCATCTGTATCTTCAGCAAGGGATACTTCATGATTACCACAAACCTCAGAACCAGAAATAGAAGCTGAAATTTCACCAGCCACCTTCAAAATTTCATTGTATTTGGCATCAAGCTCTGCTTCTACAGAAAATTTTCCATCTTCCAAATCAGAACACCCATCATAAATTTCATGAAGCACAAGTAAAATAGGGAGAGGAAGAACTGGACCTACTATATCACCATCACACTGAACCTTATTAGACCCTTTATTGCTGCAAGAGGATGATTTCCTTAAGAAAAATGGAGGCAATTCAGGACGGGATGGAACAGCTAAAAACTCCAAAGCCACCTTCTTTTGACCAACATCTATGTCCAGAGATTCAGAATGCTTTGAAAATGCCAATTGTAACAGATCCAAAGGCAATTCGGCCCACAATCCCCTCAGAGCAACATCATGCAGGTTTGCTGATGGCTTCACATCTTTAAAAAACGCAATAATGGCAGGTGAAGTTCTAAATGGGCCGACCCCACAAGCATTCAATTTCTCACACAAGAACTCATGAACATCCACATCGAAAGGTCCCTTCTCCTGAGCATCCACACAAGGATCTTTCAGTTTTTTAACTAAGAGTTTAGTAAGGTTGCCTCTTCTATATGCATCGATATAGTTCAATTTATGAAACACAACATTTTTGCGATACTTACATTTCTCATCACCTACAGTGAACAATAAATATTTGTCCAAATGTAACCCTTGTTCATGGCAATTTTCTAACTTTCTATCATGAATCCAGGAGGCTTCATATCTCTGCAATTCAAGCTTTCCGGATGACATTAGCCTTACCAATGTAAAACCACCATATTTATATGGTTCACAAAGTAAGGAGGCTAAATCACTGTTCACAATGCCAAAGCCCAAAACTATCTCCTTCTTCATCTGCCAATCAATCCAATTAGGGAGAGCAGCCTTTGACAACTCTTCTTTTAGAAGACAACTCCCACAAAGACAATCACGACCAGATAACACAATTTCATATGGAAGCTCCCACGCATAAAAGGTCTTGTTAGAAAGCTTTGAAGCAAGAGATCCTCTTTGAGATGGCAATGAAGTTCCATAACAGAAGAGATTGAACTCACCACTCCAAAATGATCCCAATATGATGCAAAATCCAACTTCAGAAGCTAACTTGAAAGTATCTTCCCTTGAATGTGATCTCAACTTGGACAAGTTTAACACATTCATGAAGCTAGGGTTGGTAAGACCATGGGCCCATCGTATAATTGGCATCATATGCTTCCGCACATCACATAAAAGTAAGAAATTTGTGGAGGCCACAGTGAAGTAGAAGCCGTCAGGACTTGCCCTTGAAAGGGCTAGAAATCTTTCATTTTGAGCCCGTGTATGCATGTGCAAAACATCAACCTTCAAAAGACAACTTACAACGCATTTATCTGCACTTAAATCAACTAAAAAAACTGCATCAGAACGTGCCACAATCAAAATTCTTGGATGCCAACTAAATTCACAACTTAACCAAACTTTGTCATCAGAACAATTTGAATCATGCCACGGTACTTTCAACCTAGTTCCCTTAAAATTGCCATTTGAACTCGAATTTTTCATGTAATACTCCAAATCAAACAAGAACAGCTCACCACTTTCAAGCAAAACAAGGCTTTCTTCACGTATGTGTGAACTCCAACAAGCATGGGCAACAGAGCAAGTTTTAAAAAATTTTCCACCCATATAGGCTACACTAGGTCTCTCCAAACTTGAATTATATTGAACAGAAAACCAATGCGCAGAATTGCATGTGGAAGCCAACAAATACCCAATAGTAGAAGGCTTGCCTAGATCATCACCACCCTCATCATCAATTGGGTTAACTAAAATCCTTGATATGTTGTAACATGCTCCACTTGCAACTCGAAAAATATCACCATTACCATCAAGCTGAAGGCGCAAACTTGAACCTTCAACATGGAGAATCAAAAACCCAACTTTCTCAGAGTTCACCCCTGTTGGAAAGAAGATAATAACACTATTGCCATACTTGAGAAACTCAAGCCGATTGTAATGAAGGATAGAGGTGATATTATTTTGGAATTGGGGACCACAAAGCGAAGCGATGGAGGACGCAGTGGAGGGAAGAACAGGAGCATCAGGACACGAGGTTATGAGAAATCGAGAAAGAGAGAGTTGGGGGATATAAAGAGGAGGTGGTAAGAGAGAAGAGGAAGAGAAAACATGGGTGAGGGTTTGAGCAATGGGATTGAAGATGAGGGGACCCAAGGTGGGCCGCGCAGAAGAGGGAATCAGAACAGGGGATGAACAAGATATAGAAACTGGGAAGAGGGACTTCCAGTCTTCTGAGAAGTCCATTACTTGAGAAAAGTAAAATAACGAGAAGAAATCAAAAATTAGAGAATTTGAAGAAAGCAAGGAATGAAGAGGAACAACTACAATCAGAGGCCAGTTACGTAGTTGTTTGGCAGGAGTCGGCAAATGCTTTCCCTACTCTGTGAACTATAACACAGATACTACTTTGTGAGTTAATCTCAGCTGTCCGTCAAATCTAATGAACACTAATGTGCCAAAAAACTCCAGCAAGAAACAAGAAACCAAACATATGTTTAGAAGCATTTTCATTGAATCTTTCAGCAAAATTGTTGACGCCATTTAAGTTTTCAATTTCTGATCAGCAATAATCTGCAATCCAAAGAAAAAGATAAGCCTTCGTTGTCAGTGCATAAAGCTAAACTAAACAAAAAAAGTAATATTATTCTACTAGAACAATCTGATTCTCATAAAACACACACAAGAATTTTGTAAAATCCTAAAAATGAAAAGATCCATCGTCAAACACAAATTGCAGGGAAGAAAATCTTTACAACAGCTGAAGAGTCAGTGTATAAGAGACTGAAGTTACAAACAACAACAACAACAAGTCTTTATCCCACTAGGTGGGGTCGGCTACATGGATTGCAAGACGCCATTGTGCTCTATCATTTATCAAGCTTTTAGGAATATTATTAATTAAGAGATCACGTTCAACAACTTCCAAGAGCGTTCTCTTAGGCCTTCCTCTACCTCTCTTAATTGGACTCAAAGTTATATGTTCCACTCTTCTCACTAGTGCCTCCCTTGGTCTTCTTTGTACATGCCCAAACCATCTCAACCGATTTTCTACCATTTTTTCCTCAATAGGTGCCACCCTCACTTTTTCGCGTATGTGTTCATTTCGAATTTTATCTTTACGTGTATGTCCGCACATCCATCGTAACATTCTCATCTCTGCTACTCCAACTTTATGCTCTTACTGTCCCGTTAGAGCCCAGCATTCACTACTATATAACATTGCCGGTCTGATAGCAGTGCGATAAAACTTTCCTTTAAGTTTATTAGGCACCTTACGGTCACAAATAACTCCTTTAGCTTTTCTCCAATTAAACCACCCAGCTTGAATTCTATGTGAAATATCTCCACTCATTTCACCATCATTTTGAATAATGGCTCCCAAATATCTAAACTTTTCCACTTGAGGTATAATTTGATCTCCCAATTTCACTTCCAAATTATTTTCGAATAGTCCTTTACCAAATTTACAATATAAATATTCCGTCTTACTTCTACTCAGACGAAAACCTTTCGACTCCAATGTCCTCCTCCATAACTCAAGTTTGCAATTAACCTCTTCTCTTGTCTCTGCTATAAGAACTATATCATTCGCGAAGAGCATACATTTCGAGATTTTCTCTTAAATATGTTCCGTCAAAACATTTAAAATCAAGTTGAACAAATAAAGACTCAGAGATGATCCCTGATATAGTCCAATCTTTATAGGAATATCCTTTGTTTGACCACTAGGCGTTTTTATACTAGTTTTTACCCCCTCATACATATCTTGTATGGCTTTAATATAAGCAATCCATACTCCCTTTTTTTCTAACGCTTTCCAAAGCACTTCTCTTGGTATACGGTCATAAGCTTTTTCCAAATCAATAAAAACCATGTGTAGATCTTTATCTTTACAACGATACTTTTCCATTAATCCCCTAAGTAGATAAATCGCCTCTGTAGTTGATCTACCTGGCATAAAACCAAATTGATTCTCAGAAATACTTGTCTCCAATCTCAACCTGTGCTCAATTACTTTCTCCCACAATTTCATTGTGTGGCTCATGAGTTTAATCCCTCTATAGTTAGTACAATTCTGAATATCTCCTTTATTTTTATAAATAGGAATTAATGTACTTCTCCTCCACTCATCAGGCATTTTCTTGGACCGTAAAATCACATTAAATAACTTAGTTAACCATCTCACCCCTTCTTCACCTAAACATTTCCACGCTTCGATAGATATACAATCAGGTCCGTTGGCTCTACCATTTGCCATTTTCTTAAGAGCTTCCTTTACCTCCTTATCACGTATTATTCGATAGAATGACAAATTTTGTTCTCCTTCACCAGTTACTAAATCCTCCAAGTTACTAGATGAATCCTCTCCATCATTGAAAAGTTTAGAAAAATAAGTCTCCCATCTATTTTTAATTTCATCATCTGTAACTAAAATTCTTCCCTCTTCATTTTAATACACCTTACCTGTTCTAGATCTCTTGATTTTCTTTCCCTACTCTTGGCAATCTTATAAATATTTTGCTCTCCTTCCTTCGTCTCAAGGTTCTTATAAAATTCTTCAAAAGATTTAGAACGAGCTTCACCCACAGCTCTCTTAGTTTCCTTCTTAGCCATACGGTACCTCTCCCAATTTTTCTCATTGTTACACAAATGTATGGCTTTAAAACAGTTCTTCTTATACTTGATTTTGTCCTGTACACTATTATTCCACCACCAAGACTCCTTATCTATCGGACCAGAACCTTTCGATTCTCCCAAAACTACTTTTGCAACCTCCCGTATCTTTTTAGCCATATCCTCCCATATGATGTTAGCACTTCCCTGAGAATCCCAAATTCCTTTATCCAAAAGATTTCGCTTAAAAATATCTTGCTTCTCACCTTTTAATTGCCACCACCTAATCCTTGGTGTTACTACTTGTCGACGTTTTTGGATTTTACTCATAATACACACATCAAGGACTAGGACCCTATGTTGTGTCGTTACAGCATCTCCGGAGATCACCTTACAATTTTTACAAAGTTTTCTATCTGTGTTCCTAACCAAAAGAAAATCAATCTGTGACCTTGAGGCTCCACTTTTGAAAGTGATGAGATGCTCATCTCTCTTCTTGAAACAAGTGTTGGCAATCTTAAAATCATACGCCAATGAGAAATCAAGAAGAGTTTGTCCTTCATTGTTTAGCTCTCCAAAACCAAAACCACCATGCACCCTCGCATACTGACCAGCTTCCCTCCCGACATGCCCATTAAAGTCTCCTCCAATAAAAATCTTTTCACTCTGTGGTATGTGTCGAATCAACCACTCCAGATTCTCCCAAAATAATTCCTTAAAACTAGCTTCTGTCCCGACTTGCGGCGCATAAGCGCTAACAATATTAACAGTCTCACGTCCAATTATCATTTTTAAAGAAATAATTCTGTCTCCAATTCTGCTAACTTCTACAACGTTCTTCTTCCACTCCTTATCTATAATGATGTCTACTCCATTGCGTGCACTTACTTTTCCTGTATACCAAAGTTTGAAAACTTGAATATCCTTAGCTTCTTCTCCACGCCATTTTGTTTCTTGCAAGCAAAGGATATTGATTTTCCTTTGAATCATAACCCCTACAACCTCTACAGATTTACAATTTAATGTCCCAACATTCCAAGTACCAAATCTAATTTTGCTCTTATGGACTAACTTCTTTAGCCGCGTGCGTCCAGAATGACGCGGTAGCCCTTGCTCATTTAACACTACATCCGGGCGCCGATGCAACGGCTCTAACTCACTTATCACTGTACTCAAGCCATGCAGCGCGTTACTTACGGCAACGACCTAGCATTAACATTATAACGTCTATTGTCCATGTTCATGATAGATTCAACAAATTTTTACATTGACTGTTGATGGCCTAACACAACCTCCTCCTTTACCCGGGTTTAGGACCGGCTATAAACATAGGCAGAGTTAAGAGACTGAAGTTAAAGAGCAAAAAATGGAACTAGTATTATTGAAACAACAATCAGGCAAAGTAATGTTTTAAAACAGGTTTGGGTGGGTCTAAGCCATCCATTTACCCTACAACACCCGGTTTCTTAAAAAAAAAAAATCAGTAGAAAGTATAAATATATGTTTTTCATCCTATTCCAATTGAACATAAATAGCATCATTCTAAAAGTATAAACCTATGAATAATACAAGGATCAATAATTTAACAATAAATAAGCAAGGATCAATAATTCCAATTTCCAAACCGTCATAATCTTGGCACATTAGCCATGTGGCTGTCACGCCCCAAAAATTAAACGTGACCGACACGGGATATATGCACAAACATACATCTCTTAAGCCTTGATCAAAGAAATTTTACTCTAATATTTTAATTCATTTGTCATAGAATGGAAAATCATTGTAACATTTTCATATAAACAAAAGATTCCTAAACTTTCGATAAAAGTTTCAGCAAAACTTCCTCCGTAAATAGGACTTCACAAAATTTTAACAACATATAGTCCAAATCTAAAATACGGAGTTCTTCTGCTCTTCCACAATAGGCAGGCAAATAGATAACAGAACAGGATTCTATCTGTAGTTATCATGAAGCATCTAATTATAATTTCAAAATATAATGCATAATTAAACATTTATATCAAAAGAAAGGTGTCCTCAAATGATCTTCTAATCAATTTAGCAATGAGCCCTCAGAGGTCAACAGAAAGTATATTGTCAGCTATGTTATCTAAAACTAAAATATTTCTAGTGAATGACATCCCAATAATAAAGTCAAAAGGACATATGTGAATATTTTCAAATAATTATAAACGAATTAAAAAGAGCCACCAAATTAGAAAATTTAAATACCTTGACAACTTCACAAATGCTGAATCATTAAATTTTAAATAAATCAACAATTTATCACCTAACTTTAAGAATCAAGTAAATTAAATAATTGAATAGGAATAAAAACATTTACTAATTAAAAACAATAGAGTTTATTTTTCACAAGTCTAATAAAATTAATTTGTTTATAAGGACTTTACAAAAATTCAAGTTGGGTGGTTTAATTGGAGAAAAGCTAAAAGAGTTATTTGCGACCGTAAGGTGCCTAATAAACTTAAAGGAAAGTTTTATCGCACTGCTATCAGACCGGCAATGTTATATAGTAGTGAATGCTGGGCTTTAACAGGACAGCAAGAGCATAAAGTTGGAGTAGCAGAGATGAGAATGTTACAATGGATGTGTGGACATACACGTAAAGATAAAATTCAAAATGAGCACGTACGCGAAAAAGTGAGGGTGGCACCTATTGAGGAAAAAATGTTAGAAAATTGATTGAGATGGTTTGAGCATGTACAAAGAAGACCAAGGGAGGCACCAGTAAGAAAAGTGGAACATATAACTTTAAGTCCGATTAAGAGAGGTAGAGGAAGGCCTAAGAGAACACTCTTGGAAGTTATTGAACGCGATCTCTTAATTAATAATATTCTTAAAAGCTTGATAAATGATAGAGCACAATGGCGTCTTGCAATCCATGTAGTCAACCCCACCTAGTAGGATAAAGGCTTGTTGTTGTTTTGTTGTTTGTTGTTGTTTATGAGGACTTTACAAAACATATAATAGCCATGGACACACAGTCCATGGGGTAATTAACCAGATGCAGCTGAAGCCATGAAACAAACATAGACACATAGTACACGAAAGTAACTAATCAGATGCGGCTGAAACCACGAAAGAAACATGAACACACAGTCCACGAGAGTAATTAATAAGACATGGCTGAAGCCACAAAATAGACGTGGACACACAATTTATGAGGGTAATTAACCCAACGTGGGCATAAAATCCACGAATACCAGATGTGAAAATAGAGCTCATGAAAATCAAACTAGCTAGTTATTAACCATGTTGCGCCAAGAGCTAACGGGACTGCCATTAACAACTAATGTTATGTATAAAGTCTCTTTTTAAATCCACTTTCAAACATGCGAGAAATTATCATTTTTTTAAATATAAATTCTTCTTCTCAATATCAAATTCACATGAATCAATTTAAGATAATCAATCTTCTACATGTGAAAAATTTATAACTAACATATCATAAACTCTTCCACAAATTTTTTATAGTTGGCTTTATCAAATAAAGGACTACTAAAATTTGTAAAAGCATTTTCATCAGTCTTTTAAGTATAAGTCATGACTTCAAGAAATAAAACAATTTAATTAATGAAAATAGCTAATACAAAAGAAATACATATAAATATCTGTAAATTGTTGAAAATGATATTTTTGATAAAAGAAAATTTACTAATATATAAATTAATTGGGACATTATCCACTTACCTGATGGGTTCTCAATGATCAAAATTCACTTCTCATAACTTCAATTCGAATTTCTCTTATTCTAAACACCCTATAAGAATAATAAGGTCTAAACAAACTTTCAACAAGTTAAATAAACCTCCTCCCAACATCATCATTTATCTCACAAAGCTTCCCCCATAGTCAACAGTGTTGCACCACCAACCAATACTCCATCAATTCACAATTCATCTATTACCCACTTTATTGAATACTTTAGGTACATCCCAAAGTCATAAAACAATAATATAGTTCATAATCATCACCTATGATTAAATTCATCTAATTTCATTCACCCATTTTATCAAACACCTTAATTGTATTCTCAAAACCAAACAATAAAACAATACTTTTGTTATAATTATCTAACACAAAACTTCAAAAAAGTCAACTAACCATACAATAATTTTAAAATCAAGTCCTTTGCAATGTTTAAGTTAAAACTCAACTAAATAGTATTTCAATCAATTATGTATCTCACCATAATTAATAAAATTTTATTAAATATATAATCAAGAAAAATTCTCTTAACGGGCATTTTATCAAACATCATATGAGTATTAATCTTCAAGTTTTAAGCCTAGCTCTTCACTCCCAATCTCATCCTTACCCTTTTTCCATAATTCTCCAATATCAGTATTTAAATTAATAGATCTTCCCAATAGCATTCCTTCAACATATCTCAATCTTAAACTCACAAAAATCAAATCTATCAATTATCATATTTCTCTTAACATTTAAATTTCAGCTTGAATCATCCCCCCTTGCACAACCACGAACAGCAACAGCAACAATATAATAAAAATTGCAACTTCAACATCACAGATACACACACCACTGAATCAAATCAACAAAACGAGAAAAAAAATCGAAAATCCTCACCTCTGCTCACAATAACAGAAGCATGAAGAAGGAGAAGATTGTGCAAGGAAAGAGGAGGAAAAGAAATCAACACACCCCACAGCCACCATAATAGCGACGACGCAAAGTGATAGGCGACAGAGCAACAGTAGTGCCCGAGGAAGATCTAACAGCAACAGCACGGTAGCCTGAACAGAGAAGGAGGCACGACAGACAAAGAGAAGAAGAGGATTCTGCAACAAGGACCAGAGGGGGATGAACAAAGAACGGAAGGGATTGAATGCCTCACTCTCCCAGTCGTAGCCACCGCCAAGAGAAATGGAAAGGGGGAGGTTTTCGACTCTCTCTGACTCCAATAACAGCTCGACGAAGAAGAAGAAATTGGGGGAGTAGGAGAAGACTCGACGGCGAAGGGCGAAGCTCCTTCAATCACTAACGTCGGCGATGAACTGGGAACAGAGAAGGAACGCAGACGACAAAGGTTTCTGGAGGATTCTGAAACGGAAATATGGAGAAAGAGGCAGAGAAACGTACTTTAGCTTCTGATTTTATTATTATCATTTCACAATGAGAGCAAAAATGGAAATTTAGTGTTTATGGGGCCAAAAAAATCTCCCCCAACCACTAGGAGGACTTGAACACTAAGGCCTAAGCCACCAATACATGTTATTAATCTTTTTCAAAATATATATATATATATATAAAAACTACTTTTTTATAAATTTAATATTTTTTAAATACATATATAAATATTTCATCATTAATTTTTAATTAAATTTTTAAGTCATTACAGTAGCCTCATCATTCAATCATTCCTTACATCACATTCTATTATACCATCATAAATCCAAAAATTCAAAAAGCACCATCATAACTCCATAGACCACAAGTAACATCATTTCAAAATTTTAAACACTAACATCTGTCTAATCACACACACAACATATCACAAACATGGAAGATCAAGTTAGGAATAAGGAATGTTTGTCAATCTTGTATATTTGTCCAACCACACATAGAAAGTAAATTAAAATAATTAGATCAATAAGCAGTAATATATATTGTATAATATGAGAAAAAATTTGAAGAAAAATACAAATCAAATAAGTTATTTAAATTACCAATGATGGTGGTGGTGACTTTAAATTCATGGTTCCCTTTCACACCTTGCACATTTTCCATGTGTGTTTTTGTGTGTTGGTCAATTAGCCGTATGGAACAGCCAAACCAATGCAATCACAAAGACACAAACTATAAAAAATATTCAGAGGAAGCAAGAATCTCCTCAACAAGTATTTATAAGGGCATAGTACTTGATATGGTCACATGGTCTATGGTTGAACTTAAAAAGTATTCTAGTCTTTTCCTTTTTATTATTATATTTAATGCTCAGCAAGCAGAAAATGGACATGTACACAGCACACCAACATCAGAGTGATGAGAAGTAGTCTTTTAATTTCTCAAAAAAAAAAAGGGTGATGAGAAGCAATTATTTATTTGATTCTCTAAACTCTCTCAGACGCTTGATCAACTCTCAATTGACCCCAGTTAGCTTGTTAGCTCTCAGGTTCACTTTAATTAATCTTACAGGCAAAACCAACATAAAAACATGAGCAACGCTAGATTAGTACAACAGCTAAGATTAAAATCACCCATTGAACCAAAAAAAAAGGAAACTTTAATTTAATTGGAATTAATCAAGCCATCCTTGGAGATAGGGGTGTTCAATCTGGACCCGTCTCTATTGGCCCGGTATCGTCCCAATCATATCGGGACGGGTCTTGTCCCGGCCCGAAAATAATTGGGAAGGATAGGACACAGGATTACCATCGTGACGTCCCGTCTCGTCCCGAATATTATATATATTATTTTTTATTTTAAATATATTAATTATATTAATATAATTTATACTTATATTAATTATATCAATTATAATTTAATACTTGCAATTCTTATTTAAAATTAAAGTTTTTTTATATTGATAATTTTAGTGGCATGGAGTAAACATGGCGATATTTTTCTTTATAATATATTAATTATATTAATACAATTTATTCTTATACATATCCATTTAATAACTTTTATTTATAACGTATTTCTTGCTTTATTTTTAGAAGAGTAATTGGCTTAGCACATCTTCACTAAAGTAGAAAAACAATGATTTGATGTTATGTTTAACTTGCCTATTGTTGTTAATCTTATAGCATAAAGATCACTTGTATTTGTTATTATAATGTATAGTTATGATTAATATAATTCAATAATTAATTTTAAATTATTGTTATTTATGTACTTGTGTTGTTTTGATTTTAAACTTAATAAATTATATGATTTAAAATTTTAATAAACGTTATTATCCAAATCTTTTTTCAATATTATTGCATTTATCGGGACGGCGGGATGTCCCAATCTTGTCCCCGTCCCATCCTAACTCTAAACGAGACGGGACGACTTTCGGGACGGGACGGGACACGGGACTAAAATTCAGTCCCGATCTTTTTTTCGGGACGGGACACGGGACGGGGGTGTTCCGGTCCTGTCCCATCCTGTGAACACCCCTACTTGGAGATTCAAGCAAGTTTCAAAATCACAAAATCAAAGATTCAAGTAAGTTTATGCCATCCTCAAAGAACTCAAGAAAGAAACAAATCCAAATCATAATAGGGATTTTCAAGGAATAGAAGTGGGTTTCAGGGATTTAGAAGAGTAAAAGAGAGAGGGAGCAATAAATAGCTGACCAAGGAAGGAAGGCTAACACCCGATGGTACAGGTATAGGACGATGAAGGAGATGCCGAGAAGAAGCCAGAAGAAGGAGGTTGAGAGGCGAGAGCCTGAGAAGACACTAGCCAAATGATGAGTACTCAGCATATGCGAGCAATGTGACTAAACTCTACGACTTTGTGAGGCTAAACTTTGAGGATCGTATAGGTAATATGGGGCAACAGCAAAGTCTCGAACAATAGAGAGGAGACTAAACTCTGAAGTCTGAAGTTAAAGTTACTGGGTTTGGATTCCAAAATTAAGCTTTCAGACAATTCCATACAAACAAAATTAAGCTTTTTATTATCAATGAGTAATGACAAGTTCATCCACAACTGCAGCAATATCATCTCAGTACTTGAGAGAGGTTCCAAAGTAATATGCTTATGCATGTTCCTGCCATTGCTTATGATCGATCACATAATTTAATCAGAGAAACAAACAATCAACATATATCATACTTAATTTATTTCCTTGGATTGATTAAGATTAGACAAAAGCCTAAAGTATAAGTCAGATACAACCATATTTTAATAACTTCATGCATATTAAGTTTTCTAAGTTCCACTTAACTAATATATCATCATGTAATCAATGCTCCACTAATTAATTAAATCAAAGTAATCTGCTCCAAACCATCTTAATGAATCTGCTTAATTTTGTTCACACAACTTAAAGGAGAAATAGTTAGGAGTCTTCAATTTAATATATATCTGAACGTTGCCAGGTTAAAGCACTCAATAGTTGAATATATACAGGTGTATGCATGTCTGTAGAGTAATGAGGTAATCAGATTCAAAAATAATTACAATCATACCCATACAGTCACAGTTTATAGCAAAGGCAGAGAATCATCATTACAAAGTTAATACTTAACTTGCCTGGTCTTGGCAGGCAGACATGCAAGAGCACGATGAAGGAGAGAGAAGGGTGACGTTAGGACAAACGAGATCGAGTGGAAGTGGGTTTGCGATGTGGGATTGGGTCTGATCATATAAGTAGGAGTTGAATTGTGAGCGGTAAGCCTGTCTGAGCGAACGCCGAGCGTGCACCGTGCGAACTGTGAAGAGCGACTTGCATGTTTAAGAGATTGAGCAGCGCAGCGGCAGCGGGCGAAGAGCTGAAGACAAGGTGAGTGAAGACTAAACTCCTGAAACTACGTAGTAAGAGTACGTTTGGATTAAAAAATTTACAACTGAGGTTAGGATTCAACTAAAGTTAACAAATTGAGGTTAAAAAAAGTTAGTTAATGCAATGTGATTTATATTTGGATACTTTTTTTTCAAAAGTTAGTTAGATAAATTAAAATTTATTTAGATGATTTGATTCAAAAGCCAGTTGATAAAATAGGATGTTTAAACTTTTTGACTAATTAATAAGTAAAAATATTAAACTTCAAATCACAATTAATAAGTAAAATATCTTAAATATTCAATTACAAAAACCTAAAATAAATTAATATTCAACTGATATGAAGTACAAGTTGATCTCTAATTATATCACAAATACGTTGTATCTATCTTGATGATCCAGATAGATTTGACGAGGATGCCTCGCCAATATCAGTATCTTCCTCATAGACATCTACACTTTTATCTTCAGCTTATATGAATTGCTTATTAGTAATTGAATTTCTTCTGATAAAGTTACGTATTGCCATTGTTGCACAAACAATTTGAACTTGTATTTTATATTTAAATTTGGGCATGTTTTGTATAATTGCAAACCTATTCTTCCACACTTCAAAATTTCTTTCTATAGTGTATCTCAAACTTGAATGATAATAATTGAAGACCTCATTATTATTTACAAATCCTGCAACTCGGTTGAAGTCTAGGAGGTGATAACGTTCGCAACGATATGGATCAAGATACCCATTTAGTGTTGGATAACCAGAATCAACTAAATAATATTTACCTATTAAATAAAAGGAAGTGTTGTAAACTTTACCAACTTTAAATTAATATAATATTAATTATAGTAACTTTAATAAAATATACCTGAAGGTGGATGCAGAAAATGCATTGAAGGAATTGATAGGGCATTATCAAACACTCGAGCATCATGAGCCGTACCTTCCCATCCTGCAATGACAAAAGTAAAACACATATCCTAATCACATACAGCCATGACATTTTGTATTGCATATCCTTTTCTTCCAATAAATTTGATTTGATCAGTAACAATAACCACGCATGACACATGAGTGCCATCAATTGCTCCTATAGCATCCTTAAAGAATGGCTAATACCGTGGATCATTTTAAATTTTTGAATGACATTACTGAAATAAAGGATCAAGTGGCTTTATGTTTTTTTTTTGGAAAGATTAAGGCAAGCAGCTAATACTTTATAAAAATTTCTATGGACAGTTTCCCCTAAATGTTGAAACTGTTCCTATCATCCTATTACCAACTTCATACCCAACTGTATTTAAAAACATTCCAACCATTTCTTCAACTCCTATTTTTTAGATTTATTTAGACCAAGATCAACTAGTGTCGCGCATAATTGCCTAAATAAATGTTTTTCCATTCGAAATATTTTATAACAACGATCAAGATGACCTTACAAAATCTCATTGACCTACATTTCCTTGTTTGTCTGCTAGTTCTCCGTGGCTCTTTACACACATATAGCATCATATATTCACCAATTAATTGACATATTTTTTCTTGCTCAGTTATATCTTGTTGTAATAAGAGAAGTAGTTGATGAGCCACATCTACATCCCAACCTTCATTCCAACCTAACATATATTAATTGGAATCTTCCATGATTTGTC